GGGTGACTCTTCTAAAAGTTTAGGAGTGCCTTCTAAAAGTAAGGGTGAGTCTTCTAAAAGTAAGGGTGATTCTTCTAAAAGTAAGGGTGAGTCTTCTAAAATTAAGGGTGAGTCTTTTAACAGTAAGGGTGTGTCTTCTAAAAGTAAGGGTGAGTCATCTGAAAGTAAGGGTGAGTCATCTAAAAGTAAGGGGAGTCTTCTAAAAGTAAGGGTGAGTCTTCTTAACGTAAGGGTGTGTCATCGAAAAGTAAGGATGAGGTTTCCAAAAGTAAGGGTGAGTCTTCTAGTAAGGGTGTGTCTTTTAAAAGTAAGGGTGAGTCATCTAAAAGTAGCGGTGAGTCTTCTAAATGTAACAGTCTGTCATCTAAAAGTAAAGGTGTGTCATCTGAAAGTAAGGTTGAGTCTTGTAAAAGTTAGGGTGTGTCCTTTAAAAGTAAAGGTGAGTCTTCTAAACATAAGGGTGAGTCATCTAAAAGTAAGGGTGTGTCTTCTAAAAGTAATAGCGTATCATCTAAAAGTAAAGGTGTGTGATCTGAAATAAGGTTGGGTCTTCTAAAAGTTAGGGTGTGCCTTATAAAAGTAATGGTGAGTCTTGTAAAGTTAGGGTGTGTCCTTTAAAAGTAAAGGTGAGTCTTCTAAACATAAAGGTGAGTCATCTAAAAGTAAGGGTGACTCTTCTAAAAGTTTGGGAGTGCCTTCTAAAAGTAAGGGTGAGTCTTCTAAAAGTTTGGGTGTGCCTTCTAAAAGTAAGGGTGAGTCATCTAAAAGTAAGGGTGTGTCATCTAAAAGTAAAGGTGAGGCTTCTAAAAGTAAGGGTGAGTCTTCTAAAAGTAAGGGTGAGTCATCTTAAAGTAAGAGTGACTCTTTCTAAAATTAAGGGTGCATCTTGTAAAAGTAAGGTGAGTGTTCTATAAGTAAGAGTGTTTCTTCTAAAAGTAATCATGAGTGGTGTAAAAGTAAGGGTTTGTGATGTAAGAGTAAGGGTATAGTCATCTAAAAGTAATGGTTTGTCATTTAAAAGTAAGGGTGAGTCATCTAAAAGTAAGAGTGAGTCGTTCTAAAATTAAGGGTGCATCTTGTAAAAGTAAAGGTGAGTGTAAAAGTAAGAGTGTTTCTTCTAAAAGTAAGCATGAGTGGTGTAAAAGTAAGGGTGAGTGGTGTAAGAGTAAGGGTATAGTCATCTAAAAGTAATAGTTTGTCATCTAAAAGTAAGGGTGAGTCATCTAAAATTAAGAGTGAGTCTTTCTAAAATTAAGGGTGCATCTTGTAAAAGTAAAGGTGAGTGTTCTATAAGTAAGAGTGTTTCTTCTAAAAGTAAGCATGAGTGGTGTAAAAGTAAGGGTGAGTGGTGTAAGAAAGGGTATAGTCATCTAAAAGTAATAGTTTGTCATCTAAAAGTAAGGGTGAGTCATCTAAAATTAAGAGTGAGTCTTTCTAAAATTAAGGGTGCATCTTGTAAAAGTAAAGGTGAGTGTTCTAAAAGTAAGAGTGTTTCTTCTAAAAGTAAGCATGAGTGGTGTAAAAGTAAGGGTGGGTTGTGTAAGAGTAAAGGTATAGTCATCTAAAAGTATTGATTTGTCATCTGAAAGTAAGGGTGTGCCTTCTAAAAGTAAAGGTGGGGCATCTAAAAGTAAGTGTGAGTCATCTATAAGGAAGGGTGAGTGGTGTAAAAGTAAGGGGTGGTGTAAAAGTAAGGGGTGCTTTAAAAGTTAAGGTGAGTAGATGTAGATGAGTAAATGTATAGTTAAATACATACCCAAACAATATTACGTAACCACTGACATGATGTAACTGTAGCACCATGTTCCCCATTAAACTTTAATGTGAAAAGCCTGACTGTTCTTCTTTTCTAATTTCTTGAACTTTAGGATGGCTGTGATTTAAAATATATAGTTTTAATGGCTTGACATTCCTCATCCTCATCTTCTAATTGATATATAAACAACAATCAATCATTATTATGTTAAATATGAAAAGATAAAGCAGTAGTAATTAAAAAAAAATTTTAAAAAAAATGAAAATGAAGTTCTGTATTGTTGTTGCTTTTTTGGATTTTTCATTTTGAAACAACGATCAACCCACCAATTTTACGATAAACATGTTTCGACTTGTTTACAATGTCAAATTTATAATATAGGAGGATACATTGTACATGATACATATTAGTTAATAAAAGTTAAAGATGAATGACTTAATGTAAGTTTGCAAAAAACATGTTTATGGTAAAAAAAGTTTACAACAAAAACCAATCACCTTTTGGTATAAATATAACAAAATAACACCACACACCTGCTTTTTTCGGTCAGCTGGATGGAACAAACAAAGAACCTGAGTTGTTGAGTGTCCTCTCTCTTGACGTACCCGTTAGGAGTTCTCATTTTGACAAAGATCTCCTTTTACTTTGGGATATCGATTTGATTCTCTGTCGTGTGATAATGCAGGCTCATCATGTTTTCAAAATGTTTTCCTCCCAAAATGTTGGTAAGAAAGATTCCCATTGGATACACGTTAAGAGAAATGGAAAAAATTATATATATCTTGTTATGAAATATGTTCATTGAAACTTTCAAATTCAAAAATGATCATGTACTGCTCAGCCATTTAAACTCTTTGAGCAAGAAATCTTTTTGAAACATAATGGCGTTACCTTTTGTCATCTCCTCGTAGTCATTTTAAATCATAAAGTTCACTTCTGCTTATAAATCTATCTGCTGCACACTTTTTAATCATAACGTCAACGCAATTCAGCATCAAATTAAACCCACCGAGCCATTATCAAATGTTGTCACACAACAAGATGGCCGCCATCTATTCAGATGACTTCCAAGCCCCTTCCTTGCTTGCCGAACTGTACTGCCTTCGCCGCCCCCGACTTACTGCTTTCCCTGTAGTGTCTTCGGCCCCCCTTGACTTACTTAATACTGCAGATTATATTACAGGTCACGATCGATATTCATCAAACTATACAAATTATTTAGTAAATCATTTAATTATTCATACTACTTCAATTCTTATTCCGGTTTTTATGTACAGTCTATCAATTCATTATGATCATTACAGGAGTATTATAATTACTTTAAACTATTGACAAAAAGACAATGTACAATATTATTTTATTGTACATTAAAGCATTTAACTTAAACTTCATCTAAATAAAGTAGGAAGGAAGGGGAACTTCCAACTTTATTTACATTGCCAATTATACTTATAGTGGAGCCAAACTAGAATCTATTACCATAAGCAATATTACCATTAACGCAGCATTATTATCATCGTTTCCCTTCAATTTCACTTGTATCGCCATCTAAAAATAGAATGTGTTTCCAATAGATTTTTAAACACAAAAACACATATTAAACATATTTCATTTTGATGAAGTAAAAAAAAATGAAGATTTTTATGTTTAAATTGGGTTGTAACATTATACAACAAATTTCGAATGTTACTAAAAGAATGTATAATCTTTGAAGATGAGTCATCTCAAAAGCAATATCTGCGAATTATCATCAAAAACAAGCATCGTAAGGGAAAAAATGCGACGAAATTTTAGATGGAAAACATAAACATAACATACCATGTTTGTTGTCCATTATCTGCTGACACAACGTGCAATTTTCTCCCAATTACTCCATTTGCAGCCAGAGTCCATTGACTTTTACTTCTTTCTAACACACTTCTTTTGCATTTGTAGCGCACCAATGTTCATTACATTGAACTCCACTGCTCACAATCTTTGACGATGTGTCATCTCAAAAGCAATATCTGCAAATTAAAACCATTCGCAAAACGCTTCAATAAAACACTTAGGAAGAGAGACAATAACAAAACATACCAATTCTGTTTTTTATCTATAGTCCATTATCTTCCCCAATAACATCAACATTTCATTGAAATAGTCATTTACACTCATTAAACACAAAATAATTCCTTCTTCAAACAGTACATAAGCTGCTAATAATTTATACAAGAAAAAATATCACTCAAAAAATTTCTGGAAATTTTTCTTAATATTACAACAACCTAGGAAATCAGCAATACAACCTCCTAGAAAGTATATTACTCATGAATGTAAATAAACTCATATAAACAATTACAACACAACCAACCAGTTTTTGACGTTACAACTCCTTTCATTTATTGCAGCATGTTCTTCTTTCTTATAAGGGAGTCCCACACACAAACGAAATCCATCACCTTCTTCCTTTTGCATGAGCTTGAACAAAAAGTGCTTAAAGATACAAAATACAATTAGTAACATATCAAAACAGTCGTATTAATTGAAATACAGAAATAACAACTTCCCTTTTATTTTCTTTGTCAATGAAGAATTTCATTCTGAAGAAGTTGACATGCACTTTCACCATTGTTCAGAAAAATCACAATTGTTAATAAATCTTTTTGTCATTTTGGTTCCTTCACGCATGCACAATCATTCTATACAACATACAATTAACGACAATTAATACACTGCAAACAAGCAAAAAATAGGCGCTCTGGTCCTCCTAGATGACCTTCTCTCAAAGGGAAAAGGAGCAGGAAAAAGAGAAAAAAAACATTTTAATAATTACTCCCACGGTCGATAATAACAGGAATTAAAAAGCGAAATAGCTGCTAGTATTAAATGATATGTTTCATTATTAACAATCAATTAATGACCAACAACAGTAACTGTTTTAAAGTGTGTGTATTTTTGTTACATATTCATGAAAGCCGCGTTGGATGATGAAAACTACAACGATGCAGCAAGGGGCTGCTGCGTATTTGTCCATTGTTTCATATTTCAAATGGTTTTGAATACGACGAGATGACTTTCATCACAATACCTTTTTTAAACGTATTCCTGACGCTGGCAAACGTGAAAATCAAGTTGTTATAATGGCCTATTTAACTCCAAATATTGATAAGGATATGCCTTTCAATTTGATGTTCTGTCATGTAATAAAATGACATAAAGTGTTAAAACTTTTATAGATCAGTCTGTATCAAATTTTAAAATATCATTCAGTAACATAATTTATTCATATTACATTAATTTTTATTTTGGCATTTGTCCAAAGTAGAATCTATTCATTTATTGTACAATTTACAATCATAATAAATGGCTTATCAATCATAAGTACATAATATGAAGATCAAAGAAGCAATTCAATGTTACTTGTGTCGGAATAATCAAAACTAATTACACATTCAATACAATACTTTCAAAGAAATAATATAATTAATAATATAATTAATAATATGATTGATAATATAATTAATAACACAAATAATGAATCAACTATAGACAATATCTACTAATATCCATATATTTTTATCATGATATGAGTGCAGTTTAAGTTGATATGAACTTGAAAGCAGATATATTATATACACAACTTCGAGGAAAGGAAAAGGGACTTCAATACCCCAGTTATATCATCACTTAAAGATGGCTTAGTGCAGAGTTGATCATCTTTGATTATCAGCTGACCACCGTTAGGTGGGCTCATACAACAATGGGGCCCATCATCATTATATGAACAAACAACTGACATCAAGAATGAATCAAAACTACACATAAACAATCTTGGCCATGAATCACCATGACACATTCGTAATGAAAACTAGTGAGAGTAATTGAAGCAAAGGACACAGGTGGCAAAGGGACTTTCACAACTCTACTACATCCATGTTGGTTGGATCTACAATACAAGAATACATGAAATAATGATATGCAAAGTAACAATGCATCTGCAAAATTAGTTCACTATATAACAACATATATATCACGAATAGGTCAATTGAGTTTAAAACTAAACAATCGAACAAGAACTTTCAAAGGATCAAAGGATTAAATTTGTAGTTAAAGCCTTTTACAGTAAAAGCTTTACTAATTACACTTCTTCTTCGATAAAAACACAATATTTACCTTTCTTTGTACAACATTAAAGTGACTCTTGCAATTGTTAACATTTCAATAATTGACATCACGACACCTTTCACAAAGACAATAAGTAAACCTTTAGCTAAGGAAAAAAGAAACTATATACAGCTCTCATTTATTGCAGGTCTACAGCACAATCTGAGAAAACTGTACCTCTATGCAATTACCTGAATAAATGTGCCATTCGATAAACAAACCAAAAATCAGTACCACCAATAAAAACCATTGAGATTTTCACAAGAACAACAGAAATAAATCAAGTAGCATATAACAAAACTTTTTCCATCTTCTTTTGTAGCTACTTTTTCCACTCATTTGTTTTCATGTTGAAAGAATATCGTAACATTTATATACACAACTTTGAGGAAAGGAAAAGGGACTTCAATACCCCAGTTATATCATCACTTAAAGATGGCTTAGTGCAGAGTTGATCATCTTTATCAGCTGACCACCGTTAGGTGGGCTCATACAACAATGGGGCCCATCATCATTATATGAACAAACAACTGACATCAAGAATGAATCAAAACTACACATAAACAATCTTGGCCATGAATCACCATGACACATTCGTAATGAAAACTAGTGAGAGTAATTGAAGCAAAGGACACAGGTGGCAAAGGGACTTTCACAACTCTACTACATCCATGTTGGATCTACAATACAAGAAAACATGAAATAATGATATGCATTTCTTTCATATTATATTACATTGACTCCCAAAAACTGTTATAGTCTAAGCCCCTAAATCACAAATATTATAATGAATCCACCTAACTCACTATACTTCTACTATACTTCTTGCATTTAACTCATAAACACTATAAGTCACACAATTAGCTTGCATTTCACACATCTAAGTACCAATAATTAAATACAATACATTTATACGAGATGACGTTCATCACAATACCTTTTTTAAACGTATTCCTGACGCTAGCTTATATCTGCTACATTTGATTGAAGAAAAACATCGCTTTGAACTTCATCGATAATGGCTTCTTCACCAAACTTCAACGAACGAATTGATTCTCACATTCTATTTAAATTTACTTTTCATGTTCTTCAGCCAAAGCTGCGTGTTGCTCTTTCTTGTCTTCATCTCATCAGGCCAACATTAATAATAATTTTGAAAACAGCAACACTTTCAAAACGGATCGCTTTCTTCTATGCCAATTGCATGTTAAAAGTTCATTGCCAATGGCTGCTTCATCAAACTAAATGTAAAAAAGTGTTATGTTCAAAGAAAGCAAAATGAGACATGATAATATAGACAAAAGAAACAGCCACCATGGGTTGCTGCATAAATGCAACGTCAATTTAAATTTATTGCAAAACAAATCAAATTGATTACACTAGTTTAAATTCATAAAAAAAAATTTTAAGTTTCAATCCGTGCCACGCCTTATAACAGCTTTCTCTTAATTCTCTACTAATCTTCCAAGTTTACTTTTTGTAAAGCATTGATATGTGGTTAATCTCGCGTATTTTGTTGTATTAGACAGAATATTTCACAATAAAAAACCGTCTGTGAAAAACTATACTTTTAAAATTGTAGTTGCGCTATTCACGACAGCTAGCTAATCTCTCCGGTAAAAAAATAAGTAATGATGAGCAAAGTACATACAACATGTGGCTTTGAGCTTCGTAAACATTGTTCTTCGTTTGTGGCGGTGACAAAACTACAACGAGAATTTCTTCTTTAAAAGTACATGTTATTACTCTATAAATCTATTCAAATAATCGCGATGATTCTACTGCCCTGAAGCAATTGAATGAACATTGATGAGAGACTTGCGGCTCCTTGCTGAAGAGTATTTGTCCTTGAACTGAACCAGCAGCTGGTGGAAATGTCGGAGAAAATCTTCCACTAATAATTAAATATAATAGATTTTTACGACATGACTTTCATCACAATATCTCTTTTTAGACGTATTCCTGTGATTGAAGAAAATAACCAGCCAAGAACCATTTAAAGATATAGAAACATAACATAACCTTACCACATCGCTTTCAACTTCATTGACAATGGCTTCTTCAGCAAACTTCAACAAACGAATTGTGACCTTGCCTATCTATATGTAAAAAGAGTAATGTTGCAAAAGAAGCAAAACGAGAAGTGTCCAACGTCAATATATCTCACATTCAAAATTTACCTTTCATGGTTTTCAGCCAAAGCTGCTTGTCGCTCTTTCTTGTCTTCATCTCTACAGGCCAACATTAATAATAATTTTGAAAACAGCAATTCTTGGTTTTTATGTGTGTCTTAAGGGAATAACAAACAAAGAAAGGGCATCCACAAATTAATATTTCCATAAATTAACCAATTCACAGTTTAGTTTGAAAACGGGAGGTCATTATCTCACAGTCCAAATTCACTTTAATTTACATACATATGATGAGAACTGTAGAGACGTCAATTTAAATTTATTGCAAAACCAATCAAATCACCATTCATATTCATTACATTAGTTTAAATTCATAAAAAAATTTAAAATTTTTCATCCGTGCCACGCCTTAACAGCTTTTTCTAATCTTCCAAGGAAGCAATACGAGACGTGTCGGACGTCATTATCTCACAGTCCAATTACTTTACACGTTTAGTATTAGCATGATAATTAATGAATAGTTTGTATATGTTAAGTACCATTATTATAATAATCCATTTAATGTTAATTACTGTCAAGTATATAAGAGTTAAGTATTTGAGATATTAAAGCAGAAGTCTGCAAGCCTTGAAAGATACGCAAACACATAGTTAGAATTTGAAAAGTCAAAACCAAATAAAAGGCTAGCTAACCTTATTGCAGTTTGACTCATTGAAATCGAAATTTGTTGCATCTTTGGTGGGCTCAAAGAAATGAGAGAACGGTCCATGGCCAATATCATGTTGTCAAAGTCTTGCTACTCTGATGCATTAGCATTCTTTATCAATGATTTGAAATTTTCCTTGATGAAGCCTTTTTAATCTATCGATAAGTCCACCACACAAATGAAATGTCCAAGACAAATGTTCGACCTGCTCGTTTCGCTTGGTAAGATGCTTCTGAGACTTTCATCTTTAATGAAGTTTTTACAAATCTGCAACGCCCCGTCTGCGTGGTCCAAACAAATAGAAAATACAAAGGAAATATAATCAGATTTTTCCATACACGAGCAACGGTTTCTTCGCGAGGTTTGTAAGGATGAAGATCTGAGTCTTTGTGTTTAAAGCCATGAAAAAAGTATTGCTTGGCTGTTGTTGCAATTGAAATGCTTCCATTTGCTCGTCGAGTACATACATTTCTTATTGATTCAAGGTTTCATTCACTCATTTGTTCTCCTCTAGCAAACTTAGTAAATCATTCATTTTCCGTTTCCACTTTCAGACTTGTTATGTAAGAGGTTTCTCACACTTTTATTTTGGCTATCTGTTAAAATCTCTTCCAAAGGGAAAATGTTAAGTGGAAAGTTAATCTTCTCAAATGTTGTTAGATAAGATCGTTATTGTTTGTAGTTGTTGCTTATAACATTACGTTATACAATGATAGCATTCTTTTTGTTTAATAACATTCCAACTATTTAACCTTGTGATTATACTTATACATATCGGCAAGCGGGATGCTTGTAACAATCTATGTTTAACGTCGATATTATTAGATTCATTCTTTTCCAGTGGAAAGCGGGATGCTTTGTCCATATGAACTGTTCAACATGCTTCCAAACAAAAATGAGCAGGAATATTCAGTTGATTAATCTTTGATAAACCTTTCACCTTTTAACTCTGCTATACCGGTCACAAGCCCGGGACTTGTAGCGTATAAGGCTCTCTGCTTTTTAGTAGAATTGTCTCGTTTACAAGGAAGAGGAGTGGAAGGTTGATTTTCTCAAATGTTGTTAGATAAATGGTTTTATTTATCAATCTTATGTACAGCAACACAAGCACAATACACAAACATAAGCACGCTAACATAAGTACTTAACTATTTCATTGTCTTCTTGAACTACAGACTACTGCAAAATGAACAACCGGATGATCGCAATGTTAGAAGGAGCGCAATGTTAATACCACGAGTATGCTGATAAAATGATGCAAGACCAATTCATGGCTGATCTGGTGTCGGAACAATTGCGAGTAAAATTAAGCGGTAAAAGACATATAGACATCGAGAGGGAATCAAACGAAAATGACCCTTCGAGAGGTGGTAGAAGTGCAAGATGAACACAGCGTTTAGTTCCAAAAGCTATCCAGAATAAGTGAATAGCTTATGACTGAACTGTTAGGCAAACATACGTATGAACGTTTTAGAGATGAATATTCTTTGTATTAAAAGACAGTGAAACTGTTCAAGGTCAGAAACTGTTCAAATAGACTAAACCTATCTATCAGCTTGATAAGCTTTTACTCCGTTATAGTGTAAACGCAGCCTAAGTGTGCCTTACATTGACAATTGTTCCTTTTAACAAACAAAACAGTTTTATTCTTTGCACAAGTGATGTTTCATTGTTAATATCCGCATAGGGTTGTTCGTGCATACAGTTCATTGTTAATCTTAGAAAGGTATGCAAACGAGTGCTGTCATACGTTTTGGGCGTTCTTGTCTTGGACAAAACAATCTTCCACTTAGATTTTAACGCAAGAATGTCGTTTCTCGAAGTACAAAATAGCCTTAAACATAGTAGGCTAAAACTTACTTTTGACAAGTGTAAAGAAAAATAAGCTATTCACCTCTTGCTTTCGTCTTTGTCAAACGCATACCCTCTTTGTCGGCTTCCGAATTCAGCTTTTCGGCTTGCTTTAAGGGAACAACTAAACAGAAACGTTTTGGTACGTTAAGTAGTAGAACCGTATTTAAAATGAAATGAGACACAAACGACATATATTTCAACCCTGAAATCGTCGTTTCTTTGCAGAGATGATGTGAAGAAGTTCCCATTTTAACTTGAACGACGCGGGAAAATTATCTCGTGTTTGAGAAAGAATTTGGACGTCACGACGATAATTTCCGATCGTGAGCTCGTCGGAATTATTCAATATGGCAACTCTACTTTTCTCAACAAATCTTCAAAAATATTCATTATTAAAGAATTTAAGAGCTTCGCGTAGTTACATGATTGTTAGTGAAAGAGTGAAAGGTTGATGATAAAAAGTTGAAAAGTTCTTGATAGTTATCATCGCCATAAATCACCAATGGAAGAATTTACCACACGACAAAATCAATATTAAAGTAAATGGTATGAACCCGGGAGTATCGTTACATGTTTGTAAATGTAGATCGTTCAGGTTTGTATAGTAATATGAGGAGTTAAATGAGTGGGTGTTAATTGTGTATTGTTATTGTGAATTAGTATGAAGTATAATGTTTTAGTTGATCGTTTGTTTGTATTGTGAATAAGTCTTTTAAGGTGCTGGTAATTGTAAGTAATGCACAATACACACTTGACACCCACATTGACATCCACACATCCTACCTACCTAATACACACAATACAATGACGTAAGAACCAGATAGTAAATGTGGCTAACCTGATGTTTACTCCTCATATGAGTCTGAAGACGACTACTGCTAAGGTTGCGAAACATCAGTCAACAACAAAACAGTCCTTCTCAGGATTGTACCAACCTGGACGATCTACATTTAGAAACATGATATTGAAGTTGTTCATATAGGAACTTGTTGAAAACTTTGCTTCACTTTATGTGACAACAGAGGTACTTTAATTCGCAAATTTTGATGATTTACATCTTCTCATAGAGTTTGATGACACCGTTTTCAACTTACTAATGTTCATCAAAAGGTTTTGCCGGTTGTTCTGTCCCTTTCACAAAAATTTTGCTAGAATCAAATGTTGATAGAACGAATAAAAATGCAAAAACTGTGATTTTGTATTACAAAAGTATAGTAAAGTGGGACTGATACCCCCCACGAAGGTCATAATCAGATTAGCCAACTTCTGGCTTCAATTATCTTACTATATTTTATACGTGGTGCTTTATCCAGTGTAATATACATATCAGTGAACTAAACTGACTCCATAATACTGAAAGGAAATAGCCAAATTGATGATAGTTACACGACTCACTAGAAATTGTCATGTTGATGTAATGTCATAAATTGACATTCCTGATTTCTGAACCAATATTGCATATTTAATTTACTAAGCTTAACTTAATTCAAATTTAATTCACTTACACAATTGAAAGTTGTTTAATAAATATCAGAATATTACAAGTATATAAATTGAGTAAAATTGCTATCTATCTAACAAAGACCAGGCTTGAATAACCGATTTATCCATACATAAACTGACAGTGGCTTTGAACAAAGAACCGTCTATCCACGCTTACAGATGGTGACGTTAAAAGCTTGATTCTGAAATTGCCCAAAAGAAATGAAACCAAAGAAAAGATATTCCATCAGAAAGATCTTCCAAAGATTAGGGATATTACTCTGATGAGACGAAATATGGATGTTTATTAGGGTTATTCGAAGTTTATGGAGATGAAAATAGTAATGTAAAGTTTAGATATTCGAATCTTAAGTGAGACGAAACACGGATGCTTAATTGGGAAGTTTGATTCTTATTAAGGTAAAATTTTCTAATTTAAAGCCAATAAATATTTTGTGAAAAACTAACAAAACCTCCATCATCTTTCATTCCTAAAAAACAACATTTATTTAAATGAAAATAATCAAGTTTGAAGGGTTTAAGTGCTATTTTAAAAGCTTACATGAACATGGGTATTAGGGATTTTCGAGTCCTAGTAAGACAAAAGAGGGATGTTTAATAGAGATCTTACAGAGATGAAACAGGAATGCTTTAGTGGGAAGTCCGCGACGACTCTTATTGAGACAAAACTGTTCTAATTTAAAGCAAATAAACATACATGTTTTTCTTACTGTTTAATCTTCTTTCATTCCTAAAAAGAAACATTTATTTAAATGAAAACAATCAAGTTTGAACGTTTTAAGTGCTAGTTAAGAACTTATAATGACATATGATGTAATATTTCGTCTTTGTTCCAAAGACATCATCAGACTTATGAGTCGAATAAGTCTGATGATGTCTTTGGAATAAAAACCAAATATTACACCATCTTTAGAATGACATGGGTATTGGGGATATTCAATCGTACAGAGAAAAAGGGATTCTTAATTATGAAGTTCGGCTCTTATAGAGAAAAAACTGTTCTAACTTAAAGCAAATTAATATTCAGGGAAAAAAACTAACAAATCCTGCCTTGATTTTCTTCCTCTTTCATCCATCCTCTTTCATTCCTAAAAAGAAACATTTAAATGAAAATGATGAAGTTCGAAAGATTTAAGTGTTACCCTTAGGGTTACCCTTTTAGTGTAAGATTTTATTCTATTCTTGCTGTGCTTAAACAGGGATGCTTAATTGAGAGGTTTGTGTCTTGTTGAGACGAAACTGGGATACTTTATTGGGAAGTCTGACTCTTATTGAGACAAAACTGTTCTAATTTAAAGCCAATAAATACTTGGGAAGAAAACTAACAAATCCTGCCTTGATTTTCTTCCTCTTTCATCCATCCTCTTTCATTCCTAACAGAACAGAAAAAAAACTACACAGTAGAATTTTTTAAACTTGGCCATATTATAGATATTCATATTGTCTAAAATATATCCAAAATCTGGAGAGCGCACAAAAATTTAAAAGGAATAATACTCCTTGAGAATGTACTCTGGTATAAACTGTGAAGTTGGCACCACTCTCGACAAATAGCTATAGTTAATTATATAAGATCATATTAAGCGTATTCGTGTCATCCGACTTTGTTGATGATTTTCTACAACATATAATTATCTATATATTCTGGCCAAGTTTCAAAAAATTCTACCGTGCAGTTTTTAAATTATAGGCTGCTAATTAAGAGAAATGGAAAGTACACTGTAATATAAATCTTAGTGTTTTCTTCAATTTCTTGACTTTTTATACATTTTTATACTATAAACCTGTGAAATATGTTCATTGAAACTTTCACTTGTTTTATTTACTAACAAACACACACCGACGACTTTTTCTGACAGGTGTAAACAAAGCAAACAACTGAGAAAGAAACAATGTGAAACATGGCGGCGTTACCTTTTTCTCCTCTCGTCGTAGTCATTTTAAATCATAGTTTCGCTTCTGCTTATAACTCTCAGATGCACACTTCACGACTGAAGTAATATTGCGAATTTTTCATAATATCAACGCAATTTAGCCTCAAATTACACCTACCGAGCCATTATCAAATGCAGTCACACATCAAGATGGCCGCCATCTATTTATTTGACATCCATTTCATCCACCCCCCCCCCGACTTACACGTTTATTAATGCTTCAAACCCCTTCCTTGCTTGCCGCTTTCCCTGTACTGCCTTCGCCCCCCTGACTTACTGCTTTCCCTGTACTGTCTTGGGCCCCCCTTGACTTACTTTATACTGCAGATATTATAGGTCACCATATTCATCAAATTATTCATCAAATTATACAAATTATTCAGTAAATATTTAAATTATTCATATTACTTCAAACTTATTCGGGTTCATTATGATCATTACAGGAGTATTATAATTACTTTAAACTATTGACAAAAAGACAATTTACAATATTATTTTATCGCATTTATCTATCAAAATTGTGTGGGGCAATTTTGACAGACAAAGCATTTAACTTAAACTTCATCTAAATAAAGTAGGAAGGAAGGAACTTCCAACTTTATTTAGATTGACAATTATACTTATAGTGGAGCCAAACTATAATCTTAACTATATTACCATAAGCAAATTCACTGAACATCAATTCTGGGCTGGTTTTCCTTGAACAATTACCATTAACAGCATTATTATCATCGTTTCACTTCAATTTCACTTGTATCGCCATCTGAAAATAGAATGTGTTTCCAATATATTTTAAACACAAAAACATATATTAAACATATTTCATTTTGATGAAGTAAAAAAAATGAAGATTTTTCATGTTTAAATTGGGTTGTAACATATACAACAAATTGCTCATCGTCGGTTTTCAAATTATGGCAAAAAAGAATGTTACTAAAAGAATGTATAATCTTTGAAGATGAGTCATCTCAAAAGCAATATCTGCAAATTACAACCATTTACAACACAACGCTTCAATAATTGACACAACAAAGTCAACTCATGGTTTGAAGAGTTCCGCAGAAGCCGCATTGTCATCAAAAACAAGCATCGTAAGGCAAAAACTGCAACGAAATTTTAGATGGAAAACATAACGAAGCAGCAAAAATCGACGCAGAATTGATAAAACGACACAGAATTTTAAAATCATCTCAAACGAGTGTGCCGTTAAACGCATATCAATTAACAAAACATACCATGTTTGTTGTCCATTATCTGCTGACATAACGTGCAATTTTTTCCCAATTACTCCATTTGCAGCCAGAGTCCATTGATTTTACTTCTTTCTAACACACTTCTTTTGCATTTGTAGCGCACCAATGTTCATTACATTGAACTCCACTGCTTACAAATCTTTGACGATGAGTCATCTCAAAGCAATATCTGCGAATTAAAACCATTCGCAACAACGCTTCAATAACCTGTGCGAGGAAACTTAAACAGAAGTTCAATTCTTGGTTTAAAATCGCATAAAACACTTAGGAAGAAATTCTTCTTTTCTCAAAAAACAGGCATCAAAAACATAACCAAGAAGCGAAAAACGTCAATCATGGCAGCGACTGTCGTACTTAAAAAAAAAACATCTGAAGAGACAATAACAAAACATACCAATTCTGTTTTTCATCTATAGTCCATAATCTCTAAAGACTTAGCCCAGTTTCTTCCCCAATAACATCAACATTTCATTGAAATAGTAATTTAGTCCAACTGCTGAGATGTTCACAACATATTTTTCTTTAACTCCATTGCTTAGATGGTCGAAACGAATTCACTGTTTTTGAGTCTATTGGCTTCTTGTCATCAACGCGGGGTAAATTACTCCAGATTATCGTACTTTTGGTGAAAATCACCAAAAATTCAACAAACATTACAGTCATAAAACACATATTTTCGGACCAATTTATAAAAATTCCTGGGAATTTTTCAAAAGTTAGAAATGTTTTTAAAACATGTTGAAATGAAATAATTCTTTCTTCAAACAGTACATAAGCTGCTAATAATTTCTACACGAAAAAAATATCACTGAAATAAATTCTCTGGAAATTTTCCATAATATTACAACAAACTAAGAAATCTTTGTACGCTTTTGTCAGAGTAATTTACCCCTCATTGTCATTTAGCTCCACTATTGATTTGCATCACAGCTTTAGTTGCTTTCATATCTGAAATGATTAAGCACAGAAAAAGAAATATCATCTCAAGTATATTATTCATGAATGTAAATAAACTCATATAAACAATTACAACAACCAACCAGTTTTTGACGTTACAACTCCTTTCATTTATTGCAGCATGTTCTTCTTTCTTTTATGGGAGTCACACACAAACGAAATCCATCACCTTCTTCATTTTGCATGAGCTTAAACAAAAAGTGCTTAAAGAGACAAAATACAATTAGGAAGAAATCAAAACAGTCATATAATTGAAATACAGAAATAACAACTTCCTTTTATTCTTCTCTATCTTCTCGGCCTGCACGACAAGGAGCCTATTCCGTAACCTAACTAAGATCGGGATCGAGAGAGGTATATCCATAGTCCGGCGTGTGACAGTACCACCTCCCCGCTCGTCGTGGCCCGCATGCGCCTTATGTTTTTATGATATACTTTCGAAACATGTGTTAAAAATGAAACATTTTGGAATTATATGGTCAGAAGTGAAACATTGTCGAAATATGTAATCAAAAAATTTTAACATTAAATTTTTTAACATTGTTGAGAAATTTTTTTGTCAATGAGAATTTCCTACCCCTTCTGTTAAAGAAGTTGACATTTTTCAGAAAAATCACAATTGTTAATGTCATTTTGGTACACTTGTAATGTTGGTTGGTACCAATACTCCTTCATGCATGCACAATCATTCTTTTTTTTTCAGTTTTCACATAATGAAAATTCAGGGAAGTCATTGGGTAGCTGGGTCAATGTGCGGTGACGCCACCCAGCCAGCAGAGCTGAAAAAAACAACAACATACAATTAACGATAATTAATACAAAACTGCAAACAAGCAAACTTACCTCAGCAACGCAAGTTTCTTTCATTGTTGCTGAGATGGAAGTGGGCTTAATGGATTTGTTGACGTCTTGGCAAAGATACATGTCCCCGTATTGACCTTCAAGGCTAAACTCACCAGCTTAAACCTTACAATGACACCAACTACACACAATAACATAGACCCTTTTATCTTGCTCCCTCAGACAAACAAAGAAAATTTTCTTAACTTAACTGCTTGACTTAATTATCTAAGAATGTATCTTTATCAGAAAATTTCATTGCGGGAGCCTAATGGGGCGCTCTAGTCCGACATGACCACGTTACGTTAAAGCGAGCTCCGAAGAACACGCAACCCGTCCTTTGTCAGGGACCTTCTCTCAGCGCACCTAGCTAAAGGGAGGGAAAAGGAGCAGGCCTTGTACCACATGATGATCATCTAAAGCAAAAAAAAAAGGAATGAGAAAAAAAACATTTTAATAATTATTCCCACCGTCGATAATCCTTGAACAGATACTCAAGCTTTTCATCAGCTTGTCACCTGAAACAATAATCAAAATAACAGGAATTAAAAGCGAAATAGTATTAAATGATATGTTTCATTATTAACAATCAACTAATGACCAACAACAGTAACTGTTTTAATATGTGTGTATTTTTATTACAAGACAACATATTCTTAAAAGCCTTCGTTTTGCTCTTTATAAGTTCAAACACAGAAAAAAATCTAACTAAAATCATCATTTCATACAAACAATGTGTGCCGAAAACACCAGTTTTAATTAAAGTCATGAAAGCCGCGTTTGATGATGAAATCTTTGTGACTATCTATCTATAAACATCTTTACACTTTTCAAAAGATCACATTCACTTTCACTTTCAAAATACAAATTTCTTTCGTAAATATAAAGCATTGTGTAAGTTGCGCTATTTATAACGGTTTGGCTTTCTGCTAATAAAGGAGTAACAATGAGCAAACTACTTACAACATGTGGCTTTGCGCTTCGTAAACATTATACTTCGTGTATGGCGGTGTCAAAACTAAAACGAGAATTTCTTCTTTTAATGTATATTGCTCTATAAATCTATTTTTTGAGGATGGAGCAAGGGGCTGCTGAGTATTTGTCCATTGTTGCATATTTCAAATGGTTTTGAATAAACGTCGGAAATGTCGAAGAAAATCTTCCACCAATAATTAAATACAATACGATTTATACGAGGTGATTTTCATCAGAATACCTTCTTTGAAAGTATTCCTGACGCTGGCAAACGTGAAAATCAAGTTGTTAGCACATCGCTTTCAACTTTATAGATAATGGCTTCTTCTTCTAAAGGAAGCAAAACGAGAAATGTCAGTTCTCCTTAAAGTTGCTCTTCTTTGCCTTCATCTCATCAGACAAACAATCATAATTGTCACATGAAAACCAATACCAATACTTTGCAAAAATTATCAAATTCACAGTTTACTTTGAAATCATAGTCCAAACAAACTTACAGCCACCGTAAGGTTGCTGCAAAAGTGCAACGTCAATTTGCACAAGTTTAAATTCATCATATAAAATTGAAAATATTCAATCCGTACCACGCCCCAACAACGGCTTTTCTTTAATCTTTCTTCCAAGTTGACTTTTTGTAAAGCATTGATAAGTGCTTAGTCTCTTTTACCGGGAATTTTGTTGTAGATGGACAACATTTCGCATTAGACAGAATATTTCACAATAAAAAAAACCGTGTGTGAAAACCGAAACTCGTAAAATTGTAATTGTTCATTCCTTTTTATGCCAGAGAAACCGCAAGTTATTAGTTAGTAGCCTTACAGATCTTCTTTCTCAATCAGTAAATACATTTTTTTTTACTGCTCAACAATCTTTTAAAGAAAAAGAATGTGTTTGAAACCAGTTTCTGATTATATTTTAAGCCATGAAAGCCGCATTCAATGATGACATCTTTGTGACTATCTATAAACATCTTTACACTTTTCTAAAGATCACATTCAGTTTCAGCTAAAAATTTATATTTTTCTCGTTATTATAAAGCATCATGTAAGTTGCGTTATTCATAACAGCTTAGCTTTTCGCTAATAAATAAGTTGTAATGAACAAAGTACTTACAACATGTGGCTTTGAGCTTCGTAAACATTATTCTTCGTTTGTGGCTGTGACTAAACTACAACGAGAATTTCTTCTTTTAATGTACATATTATTACTCTATAAATCAGTTTATTGACGCTTAAATAATCGCGATTATTCTTACTACCTTGAAGCAATTGAATGAATATTGATGCGAAACGCGCCGCACAGTATTTCTCCTTGTCGCATATTTCAAATGGTTTTAAATAAACGGAAATTTCAATGAACTGAACCAGCACCTGGTAGAAATGTCGAAGAAAATGCTCCACCAATAATTAAATACAATAGATTTTACGAGATGACTTTCATCACAATACCTTTTAGACGTATTCCTGACGCTGGCAAACGTGAAAATCGAGTTGTTGTTGATTATATCCGCTAAATACGATTGAAGAAAACATCCAGCCAAGAATTATCTAAAGATATACAAACATGACATAAACTTACCACATCGCTTTAAAGATAATGGCTTCTTCACCAAACTTCAACGAACGAATTGTAACATTGCCTAAATATAGAGTTATGTTTGCAAAACAAGCAAAACGAAAATGTCCGACGTCAATATATATCACATTCCAAATTTACTTTTCACGTTTTTCAGCCAAAGCTCTTTCTTGTCTTCATCTCATCAGGCAAACAATAATAATAATTTTGACAACAGCAATTCTTGGTTGTCATGTGTGTCTTAAGGGAATAACGAACAAAGGAAGGGCATCCCATATTGTTTTGTAAGCAGTCCATCAGCAAGGCGCGTAAGAAAACCACCAATACTTTCCATCAATTAACGAATTCACAGTTTGAAAACGGATCTCTTTCTTCTCTGCCAATTGCTTGTTAGAAGTTCATCAAACTAAATATAAAAAATGTTATGTTCAAAGGAAGCAAAATGAGACATGTGGGAAGCCATTATCTCACAGTCCAAGTTACTTTACACGTTTTGCTGCAAAAGCTGCTAGTCATTCTTTCCTGTCATACATACATAAAAAAACAAACATAAAAAAATTTTCTCAACGCTTTCCATAAAATTATAGATTCGTAGTTTTTACATGGACGGCAACATGCCAATGCGAGACTATTTTTCTTCAATCAAAATGTAAATTAAACAATCACTTTCTGTCATGTTTTGCGTCTCACATGATCATATGAAAAAGCATCAAACCTACTTCTCGCCTGAATAAAATTGCGGTGAGTTTGCTTGCTTCTTTAATTTAATTATCACACAACGCCTACGACGACCGACCACATGCAGGGGTACCGTTAACCAAGCCAAGCATTGCATATTCAATATAAATGATTGTCATCAGCTGTCAAACTTGTCATTTTGGTGGGTGTAACGTAGGCCTGTTTCAAACGTCGAATTTTGCATGTGTTGAACGAAATACAATAAGCAATTTTATTAGACCAAAATGGAAAATTTGACCGTGGATTTCAAACGTCAAATTTTTCTGGCGTTCAATGCAATTATTACCCTTCGCTTTATCTCGTTCCAGACTTTGTTGTGAGTGAAACGCGAGAGCCAAATTGTATTCGACACATGCAGAAATTGTATTCTTACGTTTAATGTGTAATTGTCAGGGTACAATTCTCGGTGAATAAAATTACATTACTGCATGTAGTAGGTCAAGAAATTAAGACTCGAAATAATAAAACAAAAGTAAACCAATCTCAAAAAATTCCATAGTAAAAATTCAGTTAGTTGTGATAATTTTCTATTGTTCAACCGGAAACAGCAAACGTATATTATTACTCACTTTAAAAGATTTTTTTTGAAGACATTTACCATTATGTGTAATGCCCAATAACAAAATAGTACATAGTTCTCTGCGCTTGATAACATGAAAGTTGTTCTATCTACTGCACACTTTTGTAGTAAGAGTTCATTTTATATTTCTACAGAGATTCGGCTAATATTCATAATCAATCAATTTCAACAATCAATATCACAAGAGATCACTTTATCTCACATCAACTGATTTCCGTCATTCAGTCATTACTATCAATTATACATCGCAAGTCAACAACACGAAATTTCAAAATTTTCCGATTTGAATCGAAAATCGGGTTAAAAATTAGGTTTAACTTACTCCTTTCTAGATTGTCTAAATAAAAATATATCTAAACAATGAAGTGTAACTGAAAACATTTAAGAAAAGTAAAATTCCTGAGAAAACACAACAGACAAATCGACTAATTTGTCTTCACAAAAAATAATGGCCTTTTGCTATATAAATACAACAAACAAAACACACTTACTTCTCTTTCAGACTTCCGACCTACTTAACTCCAAATTTCTCTCTCAAAAACAAATCACCTTTTGCTACACGGTTGAAGTTTTAAGTTCTAAGAGTTTTAAGTTCTAAGAGTTTTAGTTCTTAGTTTCAAGTTCTAAGAGCTTAGATGAACATGGGTATAGGGATATTTGTCGAATCTTATAGAGACCAAACAGGGATGGGATATGGCAAGCCATTTCGGAAAAAAGGTGGTCGAGAAAAAAATCTCCGTTGAGAAAGCAAACCGATGTTGAGAAACACGTGTTTATCATTGAGAATTTGCAGATGGTAGTTCAGAAAAGCAAATATCCCGGTCGAGAAAAAAATCCCGGTCGAAAAATCCCGGTCGAGAAAAATCCCGGTCGAGAAAAATCTCGGTCGAGAAAAAAATCTCGGTCGAGAAAAAAAATCCCGGTCGAGAACCAGTGCACGCACTACCTAAAGATTGGACATGAGGCAGACGAGGGCTGTCATGTAGCACTGCATATTTGGTACTAATATGAGTTTGGCACTACTTTCAAAAGCATAATCATCAGCACAATTCATCACCACATTCAACTGAAATTTATTGATAAAAACAATAAAGCAATAAAGTCCTGTTGAGGGACTTACTCCCCTTTCTCTGCCTGGTCTATTTTTGAATGATAAATTTTAGTTGAATATGATGATGATTATTGTGATGACTGTTGTGTTGAATGTGGTGCCATATGTGGGTGCCCATCGTGGTGCCAATTCACAGTAGCAATTGTAAGATGGATGCGAATGCAGTAACGGGTCACAAGAGCAGGTCAACTTATTAACAACATTTTAGCTCGAGTCGAAGAATTGTCAGAGTTATTTCACCATGTCGTGAAAACTCTGAATTATCGTCTATAAACGAGGAAGTGGCACGATCTTTTAATCGCGGAGGCCGAGGATACGACATAAATTTACAACAATCAACAGCAATGTCGAGCACAGGTACCAGTTTTGCCACCGTTTCGTCCATAGAACCAAGGCAATATTTTCCTGCTATGAAGTATAACAAGCGAATTTTGAACAGCAGCAGCTCCTCAAGGAAAAAGCAATCAAAAATGAAGAAGGGGCCAAGTGGTCCTTTCATACGAGACATAGTCCTTTTGTCAGGGCCAAATGTAAACGCTGTCCCCCGCCAAAGCGCAAGAGTCAATCTAGTGGAAAATGGTCATATTATTTTAGGCTTCCAGCTGATGAAAGAATGGAAGGGATATGAAGTAGAGATGCATGTGAAATGCGTTTGGTGACAAACTAAAAGATCACAATATAGATATTGAAATCGTAATGTCGGTCCACAATACATTGCATCCACCCTGTCTTGCACCACCAAACCTTAAATGGCTTCATGGTGCACAAAGTGTTCAAAGATAAACCAATTTATGTCAGGCCATCAGTACAGATATTGGAACCATTAAGCAACAGAATCAACAAACCTGAACATTTGAATGATCAAGACGACCTGTGTATTGTGCAGGTATGCTTGTCTTGTCTGCCTTTTCATTTTTTTAAATACATTCTGCTAGAAATAAATTTACGAATAGTCATTAAACATCATTTTTTATTGTTTGTCCTTTCTTCAACATTTTTTCGTTGTAAAGGAAGAATCATAATAAGTTTTTATTTTCATATGTAATAGGATGACTCAAGTGATGATGAGTTTCTAAGATCTGCGTTTACTAATGAACCTCCTTGCATTTCTTCGTATCAACATCCTGGAGTTGAGGAACACAGTGAAATGGAAGTGACTAATAATCCACCTGCTGTCCAAGAAACCTCTTTGCTATCTGTTGGTACTATTTCAGACTGTTCTCACAACAATGGAAATGTTCAGAATGAAGTTCAACCAGAAGATCCAAACTCTGTTGATATGTCCAATATTTCTGGTATGTTTGTTAAAACATTTTGCATCAAAATGAAATCAAAGGTTTAAGCTGGATTGTTTGCCTTTTGTTATTTGTGATATTTACATCATAAAAGTTCTACTACTGAAGATTTTGCTGTCACATGTTTAATGAGTTATTGCTGAATTCATTTTGTTATTTGTAAATCAGTCTTTTTAACGATATTCTTTTTTTTTAAAGCTGTTGAAACTCTATCAGAAGTGCTTTTGGAAAATGAAAATCTGTCAACTCTTTTGAAAGTGAAAATCTTCCAACAAGTAACATTGTGATACACCAATCAAATCTTAAGCATAACATGATTGATGCATTTTGTGATGAAGAAATTTTAAATTCAATAGTTATAGTTAAAGTTATTATGACAGAGGGCAAATGGAGAAGGTGAAGGTGGAGTATTTAGAGATATACTTACAGGGTTTTGGCAGGAATTCTTTGTATCTGCTACAGTCGGTGCCAATGAAAAATCCCAGCTATCGGCATGATTATCAGAGTGAGCAATGGAAGCTATTGCAAGAGTGTTTGTGTATGGTTTTCTCAAGAAAGGTATCTCCTATCCAGCTCTCACCTGCTTTTATATCTGTGTGCTTGTTTGGTGAATCTTGCATTACTAAAGCATTTCTTTTGGAATCTTTTAAGGCATTTTTGTCAGTCAGTGAGCAAGAAATAGTTAATGAAGTAGTTAGTGGGAATATGAGCCCCTTGATGATGATGTTATGGAATTTTAAGTAGCTATCAATGTTTTACCACTCCCAGTGAAAACAATATTGAAAATATTATTTGGCAGTTAGCTCATAAAGAAATCATCCAAAAGCCCCGTTATATTGCAAACTGCTGGACCCCAATCTTATCCTTGCTAAAAAGATACATGCCATTTCAGTCACTTGAAAATTTGGTCTCGCTATATAATGAGAAAAAACCTAATGCAAAGAAAGTTGTGAAGCTTCTTGATGCCCATCCTAATACAGATGCAGAAAGGGCATGCTTAGATCACCTGAAAAGATTTATAAGGTCCATTGAAGGAAATATTGGTACTTTTTTGCAGTTTACAACTGGAAGTAATGTACTGGTTTGCGACAAAATAAGCATTTCTTTCAATAAATTGGAAGGCTTAGGCAGACGTCCTGTTGCACATACATGCACTCCTACTCTTGAAATTCCCAGCACATATCAAAGCTATAATGAACTTTCAGAGGACTTCTCAAACTTGCTGAGTAATAAAAATGCTTGGGCTTTTGACATTGTTTAAAAATATTAAAGCATTACATTAAATGTTATTGCTCCATAAACTTAAAACTTGTTCTATTTTGTTATGTTAAAATTTATTTTATAAAGACCAGAATTTTATTCAGGACTGTTACAGAGGAAGACATTTTAAAATATTGTTGTATCTTATATATAAATGAACTTTATCAAATAGGCTGGTTTTTTCTTCTTTTTCATATGTTGTGTTTTCTAAGTTTCTGATCAACTTTTTTCTATCACCATCACAAAATGTCAGTAAGTGTTTGTAATGCTGCACAATAGAAATTGATGCCATAATTACCATCATTTGCCACTGGATTTGGAACAGTATTGTGGACAATGGACCACTGTTCAGGTGACAAAATAATTCTGCCCTCTGGGACAACAATGTTGTTATCTGTTTCAATGTCAGGAATATCTCCATCAAAGTCCACTCCGTAAAATGTAAAGTCTGTAACAAGCTCATCCACTTGGTTGGGAATATTGCCAGAGTACCACAGTGCCATTGGTGACCTATGACCCATTGTTCTAAGTCCATGGTAGTTCCACTGACTTTCAAATTCTCGGTGATGCATTTATTCTAGGCAAGAACACTATCTCAAGAGCCAACAAATGTGCTTCATTATCTACATCCAGTAAACCACTATTTTCCATTGTAATAAACAAGTCCTTGTATAAAGCTCCCAGTACTCTATTCACTTCTCGCCACAACCGTTCAATACGTTGGTTGTGAACACTGGTACCTGCAATAAAGCTTCCTCTTCCTGTGCCTCGAGTTGTAATCATGAACTTTGCAATCTCAACGTTTTCCACTCCGCGGTCTGCTCGAACACGTGAAGGAACACCAAATTTTTCATTACCTTCGATAAAGAACTGTACAGCAGTAGTTGCTAAGTTGTTAGTAGAACATTTTAAATAAATGATAGCTCGACTGTAGCCATCTATACAACCGTGAACTACAAACCTCCACTGTATAAGTTTGTGGTTGGTATCAACGTGCCATAACTCATTTGAAGCAGCCACATTGTACATTCTTCTTTGGATAGTAACACGCTTTCTTACAGCCCTTCCCACAGGATCAAGTAAACGAAGGCATTCTCTCACTCTGTTCCTTTGTACAAAAATTTGACGAGCAACTAAGCCTCCTCGAATATAAGTTTCTCCAGCATATGGAGTTTGCTGTAGTATACTTTCTATAACTGATTTCAATTCGGCGTCAGTGATTTCAGAAAATGTTTGCGATATGTTTAGCTCTTGGCGGTAGTTATACAGTGTCCTTTCGTTTATGCCCAGCGTTTCTGCTATTGATTTCCAATTCATACCCGTTTCTCGTAATGTTTCTATTTGCTCTTTAGAAAGAACATATTTAGGCCTTCCACCAGTGAACTGTCGACTCAAAGTTAACCTATTATATGGAAGTTGTTCACGACATTGCGACTGCACTTCACTAACAAGGATGTGTAACTCTCTGACTAAATTCTCAAATAAACTCTTTAACTCTTCGTGGCCAAATTTGGATTCAATAACTGATTGAAGAGCAAAAACAACGTGAAAATGTCCCTCTAACTTTCTACATACATATTCTTTCGCGTTGGCATCTTCACTATCACGCGACGCAATAACTAAACAAGACTGTAGGGAGTAAAACGCTATAATATCTTGAACATCCGCCATTACGCCATTCGTAGTATATCAGAGCGCTGCTTGAAGTTGCAAAGAACAGTGCTATGAACCATGGTATAACTATAAATTATGTTGTTACGACTGGCATTTTATTTCTCGACCGAGATTTTTTTCGACCGGGATTTTTTCTCGACCGGGATTTTTTTCGACTGAGATTTTTTCTCGACCGAGATTTTTTCTCGACCGAGATTTTTTTCTCGACCGGGATTTTTCTCGACCGGGATTTTTTTCTCGACCGGGATATTTGCTTTTCTGAACTACCATCTGCAAATTCTCAATGATAAACACGTGTTTCTCAACATCGGTTTGCTTTCTCAACGGAGATTTTTTTCTCGACCACCTTTTTTCCGAAATGGCTTGCCATAATGGGATGTAGTGTTGGGAAATTCGAGTCTTAGCGAGACAAAACAGGGTGCTTGAGAAGTTTGACTCTTACTAAGACAAAACTGTTCTAATTTAAAGCAAATATACGGGGGAAAAAAACTAAGAAAACCTCCCTTGTTTTTCTTCCTCTTTAATCTATCTTCCTTCATTCCAAAAATAAGAAACATTTGGTTAAACGAAAATAATCAACTTTGACCTGTGATGAATAAATGTGTATTTCAAAATATTTAGTTTCCTTTCAAAACTTATCAAAATTTGTCACCTTGATCCTGATTAATGTTGCAACTTCCTCATGGCAATGTGCCAATTTTCATCATCAACTCTTAAGGCTGAAACACACTAGGCAGTCGCTTTAGTCGCCCGTCTAAAACTACCGCTTTGCGTGGTTACTAAGCTAGTAGCGTAGTCGCGTCAGCTAGTCGCTTTGAAAGTCGCATGAATAAAAATGGAGGAATATTTGTTAATTCCAGTTCCACAACACCCCCAAAATGCCTTGGCCAGATGAAATAACATTATCCAATATTATCATACATATCTTTTTAACATTAATGTTGGACAACTTTTGTCATTCGAAAATTGGAAGCTTTTGGACTACAAACCAGAAAAAGAAGAAACACTGCCCAGGAAAATAAAATGGTGGCTCGTTGATAAATAATAAAATTAATTGTTTCAAGCATTGAAATATCGTCACAACATCCTATCTAAAAAATTATTTTTGTGCATGGGCATACTGAGTCAAATTATTATTTCATATTATAACCATCACCTTCTAAAACTTCGACAACTTTCAAAATTACTGCTCTCAAACTTGAAGACTTTTCTTCTTTAAATATTTCAGAAGCTGCTATCAGCGTGTGGGTTCTCAAGTAGTTGTTGACATATAGTGCAATTTTTTTCCTGTAAATTTCGTTGATATTTTATCTATTGAGTTCAGGATAAGGAAACGAGAAAGAAAACCCACCCATTTTGTGGAGAAGCTTTTCATCCTTGTCAAACTCAAAATGATATTTTAAAAGGTTACAATTTACAAGTATATACAAAAATACGCTTAAAATATATGGGTAGGTACTCACGCAGAATGAAGGACCATAGAATAAAAAAAGTTCAACCTTTTTGCTCATAAATATATAAGGTAAACAGTAAGCACAAATTCTACTTTTCTTCTTCTTTTACTACACATTGCCATTTTGAACGTTTTCAGAAACGTGGTGGTGAATTGAGTTTTGTGATATTGTATGACGTCACATGGACGTACAACTCCATAACGTGAAAATATTAAGGGCCTGGTCATTCATCAAATAAGAATTTTTGCAGTATGATCAAATTGAACAAGAACAGAAGATGCAACAAGAGTCTAAATCTATTCTTGTTTCTTTAAGTGGATCGGAATCCAACCTAATAACCATACAATCCCTACTGCAGGTCCCAGGCATGGCCACCCTTTTTGTTGTTCTTTAGAGATTCTCTAAAGATGAGGCTCGGCGTAAAGCCGGAGGAAAACCCTCAGAAATCCAACAAGCTACGAAAGCCAGTCGGTGGATGCACATTATTATGTTTACAACATTTATTATACTGCCTTTATCTTTACAAGGTTGTTGACAGAGGTGTCCTGTTGGCAATATGCACCCTTCATCTTTGGAAAAACCGAAACTGGCTCCATTTTACGTCATTTGTAGGACGTACGCCATTTTGACCGCTTTTACCTGCGCTATTTTTCCCTAAGCGCATTCTTAGCTAACTAACCCTGCTGATCAGTGGCATGAAATAACCGATTGGAATGTCTACTACCTACGAACTATTCTGCACAAAAATAAGTAAACCATACCTTTGAACGATGAGACACCTGTAAAGCAACGTTAGTACCCGAGCCGAAAGGGAACCTAACGAATAGGGAACCGCCTCCCTGGGCCCTTATACTTTACCAAACGGCGTGCCAACCAATCCTTCTTGTGTCCAACACTCGATCACCTAGGTACCAATTTGGCACCGTTTACGATTATTCCTACCTGGAACTACATTAAATGTATCG